CGGAACAATTGACAGAAAAAGTGTGGACTTTATAGCAGTTTTTAAATTGTGTTGATAGGCCACGTAAAACCAGAGTTATAATAAAAATATCTGCAATGTTTGGTTTCCTTGCTGAATACTATCGTTGTTTATATTTACTGCTGGAAGAAACGGTAAAAATTTATAAGAAAAAAGGCTCGAAAGCGCTCTCCTTCTGTGAGCAAAAACAAACTCCACCCCCCTCTCCCTTTCCTATTCGTCCAAAAAAGTACCATGTCGACCAATCAAAAAATGATATGGCAACATGGCCTTTAGTTGTTAAGAAACGGGGGGAAGTTTTAGGAGTGACTGCGGTGCATTGAGATGTGAGAGATTTGAGACGTTTAGCGCAAATCTTGTGTAGTTAGTGTGTAGTGTAGTTTTGTTGTGTGTGTCAGAACAATGAGGCGACTGCTGAATGTTACAGGTCTTACAGGAGTGATACATCTCCTGTTGTCAGGCCTGCAGGTATCAGGCTGTTGTTCTCCTTTATCTCATAGTGGACAGAAATTATTTTTTGGAGCTGCACAAATAATTTGTGTGGCATCAAATTTGATGCAGAACAGCTGATTGTTCTGTAAATAGTTTGAAATGTTTATTTTAAAATACATTGGCTGCATTTAAAAAAAAATAGCTGCAAAAAACTTTGTTGTTTGCCAAACCGAGTTACTTTTTTGAAGAAGTAACTATATAATTAATTGCCCAGCATTGGTCATTATATACTATATTTTGCAGACAGAGAGTTACAGACTCTCTCCCAGACCACAGACTCATACTCATGATACAAGTCAGAGCTTTATAAAAAAAAAGAAGAAGAAGAAAAAAGTAAGTTGTGTTTTCGAAATTGGAGTTCAAGTTATTTTTACTTCCAATAGTGTTAACATACTGCACAGGTCAATGACTAGAATTTTTTTAAAAAAATTTCATTGTAAGTGGGCTAAAGCAGTTACTTAAAAGTAGTCTAACATAAATGTAAATGCTGTAATTTGATTATTTTAATAAACCATGTAACTTGGATGGATTAGATGCCGGTGTGACCACAGTGCACATGTCTGATGTCGCTCACAGTGGTACAAGGGACCGCTCAGGGAGTTTGTGTATTCGCTCAGACACGTGAAAAATTAGAGGGAACATTGCCCACAAGCATATGTCTCCACTTGTTTAAGCAGTCCTGGGAGAGAACACAGTGGATTTTGGGTGTTGTGGATAACTACATCTTCAAACAGACCACGCTTTGCAATTATATCCCCATTTTATGAGAACAGCCAGATACAACTTTCATGTTCCAGTGTCTCAAGCTGAATGTTGTGCAATTTTAAGACTGAACTGAAAGGCCTTTGGTCACATAATCCACTCAACAGGTTGCCCATCTGCAAAAGGATCTCAGCAAAGGTATAAGGCATGAATGTCACTCAAATGAAAATAGGCAAACATTAA